TACCACGGGTTGGGGTGCCATGTGCAATGGGCATGCAGCCGCCGGCTCCTGGACGGGGGCCCAGCGCCTCATGCACATCAATTGCCTCGAGCTGCTGGCAGTACGGCTCGCCCTGCACCGCTTCAGAGCGTTGCTCAAGGGCCAGCATGTGCTTGTCCGCTCAGACAACACTACGGCTGTAGCGTACATCAACCACCAGGGGGGTCTACGCTCGCGCCGGTTGTCGCAGCTCGCCCGCCACCTCTTGATATGGAGTCAGAAGCACCTGAGGTCCCTTCGTGCAGTTCACATTCCTGGAGACCGGAACTGGGCAGCCGACGAGCTGTCTCGGGTCCGCCCTATCTCCGGCGAGTGGCGACTCCATCCCCAGTCGGTCCAGCTGATCTGGAAAGAGTTCGGGGAGGCACAGATAGATCTGTTCGCCTCCCGGGACTCAGCCCACTGCGCCCAGTTTTATTCTCTGACCTGGGGCACTCTCGGCTCGGATGCGCTGGCGCACAGCTGGCCACGGGGCCCACGCAAGTATGCGTTTCCCCCAGTGAGCCTCCTTGCACGGGTGTTGTGCAAGATCAAGGAGGACGAGGAGCAGGTCTTGCTGGTAGCCCCCTACTGGCCCACCAAGACGTGGTTCTCCGATCTCATGCTCCTCGCGGCAGCACCTCCTTGGCCTATTCCTCTGAGACAAGACCTACTCTCTCAGAGACGGGGCACTCTGTGGCACCCTCGTCCCGATCTCTGGAGGCTGCACGTGTGGCTCCTGGACGGGACGAGGCAGGTTTGAGTTCGCTGCCACCTGCGGTGGCGGCAACCATCACTTCCGCAAGAGCGTTGTCCACGAGACACCTTTATGCGTTGAAGTGGAACCTCTTCGTCAATTGGTGCTCTTCTCGCGGAGAAGACCCCCGGAGATGTTCGATCAGTGTCGTGCTTTCCTTCCTGCAAGAGGGGTTGGAGCGCAGGCTGTCGCCCTCCACCCTTAAGGTTTACGTCGCGGCCATTGCCGCTTCTCATGAAGCAGTGGAAGGTAAGTCCTTAGGGAAGCACGACCTGGTCATCAGGTTCCTGAGGGGAGCGAGGAGGCTGCATCCGCCTCGTCCTCCCCTCGTACCCTCTTGGGACCTCTCGGTAGTTTTAAGTGCTCTGCAGAGGCATCCCTTTGAGCCTTTGCAATCAGTAGAGTTAAAGTTTCTGTCCATGAAGACAGCACTCCTGGTTGCATTGGCCTCCATCAAGAGGGTGGGGGACCTGCACGCATTCTCCGTTGACGAAGCGTGCCTGGAGTTCGGGCCGGCTTACTCTCACGTGATCCTGAGACCCCGGCCTGGATATGTGCCCAAGGTTCCCACCACTCCCTTCCGGGACCAGGTGGTGAACCTGCAAGCGCTGCCCCCGGAGGAGGCAGACCCAGCCTTGGCACTGCTCTGTCCGGTACGTGCTCTCCGCACCTATGTCGACAGAACGCAGTGTTTCAGGACCTCAGACCAGCTCTTTGTCTGTCATGGAGGGAGCCAGAAGGGAAGGGCTCTCTCAAAGCAACGGCTGTCCCACTGGTTAGTGGATGCCATTGCTTTGTCTTACCAGCAGCAGGGCCTTCCGTGCCCCCTTGGTGTGACGGCCCATTCCACTCGGAGTGTAGCCTCCTCTTGGGCTTTAGCGCACGGCGCCTCGCTAACAGACATCTGCAGAGCTGCAGGCTGGGCGACACCCAACACCTTCGCCAGATTCTATAATCTGCGAATTGAGCCGGTATCCTCTCACGTACTCGTTTCGGCCAGTTCTGGATCCGCTCAGGTGTCTTCGCTTGCTCGCCACTCCACTCCCCGGACTGGATAAGTGCGATATTTCCTCAGTTCTTCCATTGAAGTCTTGAGTCCTCCAGCACCGACGATGCGGGCACCACTGCGTGGCTCTGGATGCTAGCTAGGTGCCTCCATGCGCACGGTTCCCCATGGTAACCGTCTCATGTGTATTATCCACTGTAAGCCTCTCTGAGCATGTGTCTTCCCTTGGCAAGCCATCTGCCACCCCTGGAGTTTAAATCAGTAGCCACCTGCGGTTGGTACTCCAGTGTTCCATATGTGTCCCTAGGTGGCCATATGTGTATTCTTAAGTCCTCCCTTCGGTAGGCAGCTGGTAGCATGTCCCTTCGGGATATGTTTCCCAGTGTACCTTGGTAATCCTGTGTCAAAGTCGGATCCCCAAAAAAAAAAAAAAAAAAAAAAGAGGTAAGGCTCGGGGTTCAGTCTTTCGCAGGGCACTGGAAGACAGCTTGAAGATGGCGTGATGGCACAGACCCCCAATCTCCGTCACTTCTGACGTAACTCGAAGTGACTACGATAGGGAACGTCTCGGTTACGTATGTAACCCTCGTTCCCTGAGTAAGGGAACGGAGACGTTACGTCTCCCTGCCACTTCTGCTGTATCGCTGGGTAGAGGCCGAGTTCAGTCTTGGCTCCTCAGCGAAGACATACTGCGGTTGCGTTCACTTCCTCCTTTTATACTCACGGAGTAGGGCGGAGTACGCTATGCAAATTTCCGCAGCCCCAAGGCATTGCATGCCATTGGCTCGTGTTTTAATACTCGAAGAGGATTGGCTTTCTATGCGAAACCCCCAATCTCCGTCACTTCTGACGTAACGTCTCCGTTCCCTTACTCAGGGAACGAGGGTTACATACGTAACCGAGACGTTATCAGCATCGGGTACAATTTCCATATCAGTGCAGTTTTGTCTTTTAGCTCTGGATCCATAAGATGACATGTAAAATAAAAGAAAAAACTGATTTTACCATCTGAAAAGGCGATCTTACATCAGTAGGACTTTTCCTGGCCAGTTTATTTCTAGTTAGTCCTGGTTGAGTGTCAAGTTGGTAGAATAACAAAGCTGTACACTATCTGATATTAAATGGTTTGGGGCCACACTCTCCTGTCAGACCAAGCGCTACAAGATGGCAGGCAAAAGACAAAGGAATAATAGGCTGATAACAAAGGTCACCGTCATCATTTACAGCAGAACAATAGACTGACACACAAAGCACTGTGTTGGAACGCTGAGGTGAGATACAGCGAACACATGATGCTTAATGAATCTAGTGGGAGAGACATTATCTTGTTATAGCATAAATTGTTTCACTGAACCCCTTTTGTACTCTGCCAATGGTTCACATAGATAAGAAAAAATGGGTTCACGTATTATCAGACCCTGACAGATTCCAATGTAAAAAATGCTTTTCAGTAAACCAAGAGATGTAGCCACTTTCTGTCTGGCTTGGTAGCTGTCTATTCATTCAGGTCTCATGAAAGACAATTTTCTATCCACACTGAAAGCAACATCATCACAGCCAATCAGAACAGCGTGAGCACTACGCTCTCTCTCTCACACAACACACTGCACAGATGAATACATACCTTATATTTTCATGGTGCTTCTGCAGATGGCATACTTTGTATGGTTTAGCTTGTGAAACTTAAAGGATTTATCACATAAAGTAATACGGATGTGAAATGAAGCCATTATCTGCACCTTGATTGATCGTAGTGGCCAATCTAACTCTTTCTTTTTCTTTTCTACTTTTTAGAAAGTATACCTTACCACATTTGATTATTTTTATTAAAAACTTTATTTAAAGGTGCTATATGTAACTTTCTTCTAAAATGAATCCTTTTTGTATTGCCTGTGTGTGAAGGGGTTGTAATCACACATCACAATGATCCACATGTCGGGTTTTATCTCTGAAGGCCAGTATTCCTATTTCTATGTGAAGTCTCTGGTTTGGATTTTATGCAAAATCCATTGGATGTGACGTGCATCAGTATATTTACAGTTTATATATATATATATATATATCCCATTGCAAATCAGGTTTATTGGCAAAATACAATAAAAGTAACTGAAAAAGTGTTTTCCCCAAACGCAACTGAAAATGCAACTTTATGACTTCTGCAGTCTTGAACAAATCTGCACACCTGATGCAACTAATCAAGGGCTTCATTAGTTGCACCAGGCTTGCTTGAGCTAGAACACATGAAATGGGCTCTATGCACGGCGGTATTTCCGGTGAAGGTGTAAGAATGCTCGATAACTTCCGCCGATCGAGTCCAATGCAATACCAAGAATTTATATTGAATTTTATACTCCATGGTTATACTAAAGAAACGTTAGTCACAAAAACAGATAAAACAGAGACCCCTCGTTGTGTTTATTCTTCTTTTTAAAATTATATTAAATAAACATAACTATATATAAAATTACATCTAAACGTATGTACGTTTCGTTTCAAAGACGGGAGGCCATAATCCCGTTTTCCTCGGTTTTCCTCCGCTGTAATCTCCACAACCGGAAATGGACGAGCATCCTTGCGTCAAATGCGGAACTTATGCGTGCATATACTGTAGCCCATATCTGAACTGCCTAGGTTTGTTGACTGTCACCTTTGACTGCATATTAGAAATAGTCAAAAAAAGCTGTCCAAAAAGTTAAGAGAAGATCACCCTACATAAACAAAAAGATACAAAAAGATTTTCCTAGAGACAAGAATAATTAGTAAGTTCAAAGTTTAAGGAACAGTGATTACACTACCTGGACAGGGCAGAAAAAAGAAGCTATCAATGGCTGCAAGCAGATTTCTGAGAAGGCAGGTTCTGGAAAACCATCGAGTGACTGTAAAAGACCTGCTTAAGATTCTTGCCATGAAGAGGTTGAATAATTTTGAGACAGCAGAAGTCATTAAAAGTTGCATTTCCAGTCGAATTTGGGGAAACACTTGAAACATTTGTTGTGTTTAGCTGTTTCAATTACTTTTGTTGGATTTGTTCCTTGTAAACATCTGAAAGTCTGTAAATTGTGCTAATCAACCTGATTTGCAATTGGCTTAAATGATTTTTATTACAACTGTACACACACACAAAAAAAGGTCATTTTAACTGTAAATGATTATAAAAATGCGACAATAAAAACCACTGCTAACTGGTTTATATGGAGGAAAAATGAAAAAATGAAAATGAATGGAAACCAAGTATCCGACAAAATACAATCAGTCGCACAGTTGCACAGTTTCAAATATTTCATTCCCAAAAACAAATAAAGTTGTAAAGCCACAAGCACAATATATTGTTCAACAGCAACACCGGATAGACTCTCAATCAAATGAGAGGAACGTTCTTCAGCTGATTTAACAAAACGGTATTCACAGCCACATCAAAGGTACCCTGCTCAGGTTCTCTGATGAGTCTAAACACCTCTGGCTATTATTTCAACATGGTTTTGAACAGCCTACAGTTACAACAGCCCTGCATTCCAGCAGTTCCTTGTGTAAATATTTAGTTTCGACGTCTCTCATTGAGAAGGGAGGGGCGGCCTGGCAGCAGGAGAGAGTGCGGCACGGCGAATCCCAAAAGCAGCAGGTGGGCCGCCACAAAGGACGGACTCAAGCCGTGCGGTTGCCACCCTGGTAAGGACCACACACACAAAGGGCCCAAAGAAGCCTGGCCACCTCAGCGAAGCTGTAGAGAGGGAGACATGTTTGACTTGGAGAGCAGAGGAATGTAAGAGGGATTACTCAACAGTTTTGGATTGGACAAGATACACCAGTTTTATGCGCATGCGAAAAAGACTGTACCTCCTCCGACAAGTCTGAGCCGATAACGTGAATCAAGTTAAATCAGAGGCCAAGTGTTTGTTATTTCTGGAAGTAATTGCATTGCCACTGTGAAAACTGAGAGGGGTGTGTAATATTACGGAATTTCGCAAACAATAACAGTTTAAAGGGATAGTCGCAAAGTGAAAATTACTGTAAGTTTCTTCAGGCATCATGAACAGGTTGCCAAAGTTCTTCTAGATTTAGTCTGTCTCAGTTTTTCTTTTTCTGTTTCTTCATGTAATCCCAGACAGACTCGATAATGGTGAGATCAGATCATACCGACACACTACAGCAAAATATATAACTAGCACCATTTATTTGGGTGAAAATGCTTACACGCCTAAGAATTTTGGGTAACGCTTCCTTTTACAGTCCAGTTACCCATGTAAATACTATGTACTTATTTTAGTAACACCAATTACTGGGTAATAACTAGTACTAAGCTTGAAACTACCCCTAAACCTACCCCTGTTCCATGTACTTATCTTACAGTATATTAGCCAGTATTTTCTAGGTAAGTACACTGTAAGTACTGGAAGCATTACCGAATTTTGTACATTATATGTCAATAAAATACTATATTAAAATAGAAAACATAGAAAACAATATTGTTTTTACTGTACTTTTTTATCAAATAAATGCAGATTTGGCAACCATGAGAGACTTCAAAGTGATAAACAAAACAAGGTAACACTTTACAATACGTGTGCACTAATAAGCATTAATTCATGCTTAACTAATGCACAGATAATACTGAATTAATGTGTAACTAATGATTATTTAAGCTATTCATTAATAATTACCACATTAGGAACTAATTAAGAGTCTGTAAGGTTAATATATTAGTTCAAACATGAATTGTTATTAATTAAATATGTAATTGTGGATTAATTAACTAATAGCGTTAAGTAATATGTTAATTACCAGAATGAACCAAAGCCTTGTATTTCAACTTCCAGGTAATGTGACAGGTATACTAATATGCATTAATACATGATTAATTACTTCATTGTTAGTGCAAATTCATGTGCAAATTACTACAATTACTAAATGACTAGTTAATAATGATGTGCCTCATCAAGTAAAGTCATAGCATAATGATACCTTTGCAAATCATTAGCTAATGATTAATTAAAGCAGACAACTGGAAGTTGAAGTGCATGAGTAATTGTGGTAATTAACACATTAATTTACACTATTAGTTAAGAAAATATGTTATTAAGGAATTAATACACAATGACACATTGAATTAATAGCAATTCATGTATTACTTAATCTATTAATCATATTGACTCTTTATTAGTTGCTGATGCAGTAATCATCAATTAATGGTTTAGTTCTTCATTAGTTATACATTAACTCATGATTATCTGTGCATTAGTTAAGGATGAATTAATGCACATTAGTGCACCCGTATTGTAAAGTGTTACCCAAAACAAGACTAAGGAAAGGTGGTGTAAATTCTTTTGTGGAACACAAAAACATGCTTTTTGAAAAATATATCTGTGTTTTCTTGTCTGAGGAGTCTAAGTCAGTAAGGTCCAATGTTGTTTTTGGACCCCTCTGATTTTTATTGTATGGACAAAAGCAGGTTTGGAACGACATGTGGGTGAGTAAACGATGACAGAATTCTCATTTTTTGGCTGAACTATCCCTTTAATTTACGGTCCATCATCTGGTTCCGCATGTTGAACGTGCCATAGTGGCCGTAGTGAGCGGATCTGTGACAGGTGTCGTCATATCAGCCGCACTCAGGCTCTGGGTGTCACATTTATTATCCCTGGGCGTATGCGGTAATGATCGGCAGGAAGCATGTGTGCATGTGGGTGGTGTGTCTTGAGCGGTGATGGAGTTATTAAGGGGATGATGTCAACACTCAGCCTGCCTCATGTTGCCTAATCAGGCCTGCGCTGCCCAAAACCTCCTACACAGGGAGGTCCGGGCTACAGTCCATGCCTGTCAGTCCCACATCACCACACACACACACACACACTTACACACACTTTCACCATGCCATACACTCACATCACTTACCACACTGTCAAACTGCCACACAATCAACACAGAGAGGCTGTTTATATGCAAACCATGTCACACGCTCGTTAAGTTTCTGTTGAGTCACTTGATAAAACTGGCTCTTCTTGAAGGTGAATTCTGGTCTGCCGTAACGTGTCTGCTTTAACAGCTGCAGAGCTTTGATCTGACCAGTATCATTTAAGGGTAGGATCGTGTATGGGGAAGAAGATAACATCCTTGAGCTCTTGAAAGTAGACAGACATCAAACGGCTGCAGCACAGTCATTAATATCACTGCCCACGGTCAGACCGCCAAGACCTTGACAGCATCGGGTCCAACGTCTTCGTCACTCTGAGCTTTTAAGTGCAACAGAGAGCGAGTGTCTGGAGAGGAGGAAGGAGAAGGAAGAGTCTGAACTCCTTTTTGATAGGCCTCTATAGCCAGAGTTCTTGACTAAACTTGACAGACACTGTGCTCTTCAGATACATGAAAGAACATGTGTAAAAAGAGAGAAGAGGTTGCAGCATCAAAAAGCCCTCTGGAGGTGTTTGACGTGAGCTAGTTTTAATCCTCTCTGATTACAGACTTGGAAAGGCATATATTTTTTAATACTTTCAATATTTAATACCACTGGAAATGTGTAACTTTCATTTACAAGCAAATGTGAGTGTGAAAGTGACAATGAAAAAAAAAAAAAAAAATACGACAACAACTTGCTAATGCAAAACTTGTAAACCACCGTGACGAAGGCGTTTCTATAAGAATGCTATATGGTTGCTACGGTGTTCTACGTGTTTTTGCAGCATTGTTATGTGGTGTGGTTTCTAGCGTGTTGTTGGTGTGTTGCTATGTGGTTTTTAATGTGTTCTGGGTGTTTTATGCAACATTGCTATACAGTTTCTAAGTTGTTCTGAGTGGTTTATATGGTGTTGCTAGTGTGTTCTGGTTGCCGGGATGTTGCTGACCAGATTCTAAGGTGTTTCTAAGGTGTTTTGCAACATTGCTTTGGGGTTTCTAGGGTGTTGTTAGGGTGTTCTAGGTGGTTGCCAATGCTGTTATTGTTTTCTGAGTGTTTTTGCAATGTTGCTGTGCAGTTTAAAAAGTGTTTCTGGTGTACTGATTGGTTAATAAGGTGTTGCAAAAGTGTTTGCTATGTGGTTTCTAAGATGTTCTAAGCTTCTTCTTTCTTTCCTTCTTTTCATTTTTTTCTTTTTTTTTTTCCCTTTTTGGACTCTGGAAGCTTTTTCGAAGCTAGTGCGGTTCTAAACCGGATGTGCTCTTATCTTTTCCTGGTCGTGACGTCACCCACCCGTGACACTCAATCTTACCGTTGTACTAGTTAACATAAGTGCTTGAGACACAATCACGCAGGAGTGTTCCCAAAGCGCCATCGACGCATCGTCTCGTTCCCTTCTCAGGGAACTGTAATGTAACCCACAGTCGTAATCTGAGACGTTTCCCACTATAGAAAAAGACCCAAAACATACAGTATGGTCACTAAAAAATTTCTGACACATTTGAAGAGGTAAAAGGTTACAATGAAATTTCCCTTACACACACTTACACAAATAAATCCTACTTTTAACTTTAATCCTACTTTGTAAGAGGACTCCCTGTATAAGACAGATCTGAGCAGGTGCTAAGCTGGCACTAAGAAAGAGAGTGACATCATATCTTTTGGAGTTAATACAACAAGTTTAACTCCAAATTACCCTGATAACTGTGTCTAGTCTCACAAATATCCCATTTGAAAACATCTTCTTTTTTTTTTCTTTTTTTTTGCTTTTAAAGGCCAGATAAGAGACATTTGTTTCTTTATTATTAAGTATATTATCAGTAGGCTTCTATTTTATTTATACTATTATTCATTTATATCAGTATATTTCATACTGTATACATATTGTGTGGAATATTATTTATTTTAGAGCTACCTTGCAATGAATCATACAGTCTGTGAGAGATGCTTTCCTGGAAGGTCTAGTATTCCTGCCAAATTCCCTAGGCCAACTCCCTAATGGCCCTTAACTAGTAAGGATAATGGTGTGAGGGAAGTTTTATGTTTGACTAATAAAGTTTTGACTTTAAAGACCCCATGAAATTATTTGAAACAGGAAGTTAAAAGCATTTGTGAGATTGATGATTAATACAAAAATTAATTTTCACTTGCCACAGTATTTTTCAGTCGTTTTCGCGGATCCCTGTGAACAAGGATCATTTTGACAATGTTGTCGTCTGGACACAAAAAAAAACTTTTCCTATTTTAGTACATAATTGTCATGTAAAGGTCCCCTAAAATTTGGGTTACACATTTAATAAGTGAAAAAAAAAAAAATGAGTTGGCATGATTTTAGTGTGAAACAAAAATAAAGAAATATTTGGTACACGTACAATACATTATAAATAAAATATTTGGTGTCTTGAGTATTACTTTGAAAATATACACAAACAAATCCAGGTACCTATGTTAAATAATAAATAGTTATATGTAGAGCACAGCATGTCACATTTCTTACCAAAAGAAAGCGCATCTGATCTGAGTAAAAGCCAGACATCAGAGGTGTTTAAAAATGCCTCATTGGCCCATCATTGCAAGTCACGATGCATCGCAGCACAGCGCAGTTCCCCGACTGTACCGAGGCGTCATAACAAGTGTTGCATAAATCATTGTGTTTCTCCTGGCAGGCAGCAGTGTATCATGAATGATTGATGTCTCGCCCTTCTCCTCCACGTACTAATGCAAGCTCAGGGCTCTTTTTCCTGAAATAACAGTTTTGATGACCCTGGGGCTGGGGGGAGGGTGAGTTAGACAAGAACACTCAAGTTGGGTTATTTCTGTATGAAATATTG